GGCCTGGAGAGAGGTGAGGGTCCGAATCCCTGCGGGGAGTTCATTCCAGAGGGCCGGAGCTGCCACAGAGAAAAAGAAAAAAAAGGCGGGGGGGGGAAGGCTTGCATAGGCTTTGGGAGGCTTTGTAGAGTGCTCCTGGGGGCTAAGAGTGATGGGGGGGAAGGGCAATTCGAACCTGGGGATGAGATCCTGGCTGCGAGATGCTAGCTTGGTCAACGCGGTCATGAGGACGGCGATGACGCGAGGCGAGGACTTGGGGATGCTGGCCGAAGGTCGCAGCTGGGTGATCTCGAAGAGCATGGCTTCCAGGACGTCGAAGAAAGTGTTGATCTGCTCCGCCGTGCAACGTTTATCATGCGTCACCGATGCGTATTCGCCAATGGCCCAGACCTAGAAGAAGATACGAACAACAAAAGACACATCTCCTCTCACGCTCGAAGGGCAACTATGGGGTCGTCCTTAACTTACAACAGTCCGTTTCCTGATCATCCTGACGTGACAACGGCCCTGGGAAACAGTGAGTTATGAACCCTTTTCACACTTAAAACCCTCGTGGCCTCCCCATGTTCTCGTGAGCAAAATTCAGACCCTTGGCAATGGCTTCCTGTTTACGACAGTCGCAATGTCCTGGGGTCATGTGGTTCCCCCTTTTGCGAACCTTGAGTCCATGGGAAAGCCGCTTTGCAACCGTGTTCCTAACTTAACAACTGCAGTGATTCGCTTAACAACCAGGGGCAAGAAAGGTAATAAAACAGAGCAAATCTCACTTAGCATGCCTTGCTTAGCAACATAAATGTTGGGTGGGGGGGGGGTCTATTGTGGTTGTAAGTCAAGGACTGCCTGTACTCATCGGGTTCACCAGCTTTGGCTGAATTGCAACTGTTCCATTGGACCATCTCAGTAGGATATCCGTTGAAGGATATCCTACAGTAGGATATCTTTAGCGCCACATCTCCTAGTGGCACAACCGACAAGAGAGGAACATGTAGTCTAGCCAGGTCCGAGGGGGGAAAACAATCACTGAATTCAAGAATGATTTTAGGTTTCGTGATGGAAAAGGGGCAGGGGATGATTGGTATGTGTGTGTGTGTGTGGGATGATCTAGGCTTCCCTAAAAAAGCAGGAGGCAGATTCCTGGTCCCGACAAAACCCCTTTTATGAAACGAAGGTGAATTCCTCTCATTCACATCCAGCAAAGGCCTGGCAAACAGTCTTTCAAAGGAGTATTTATGACCACAGACCTTATCTAGCTTGGAAAGCTGCCATCTAAATAGTTTCCAAATTCGGTGCTGTGCAAGGAAAGACTTGGGCACAGAGTCTCTGGGATTCAGGGACAGATCTTCACACTCCTGAAAGGATTCTAACAACTGAACGAACAAATTGTTTCCTGCAAAAGCCCCCTCCCCTTTCGATCCTTTTATTTCCTCTGGGAGGGGCTATTCGTCGTCCACCTGC